TAGACAATCTTTGTTGCGGGTTATTTTCTAAAAGATTGTACGTGTCATTCCAATTCACCCATACCTCCACGTCTCTCAACTTACATATATCTCTCGTATGTACATAGTATACGTACGCTTGTTTTTTTTTGTTCCGGTAATGTAGATTCGTTTGCTAGAAAAGATCGCGCCGCCGTCTGGACACCCGGCGACGATTCCGACAAAAAGAACAAAAAAAAAAAAAAGAAAAAGCAAAGCAATTCTCTGTTTCGATGTCGAGAGAAAACGAATCTACGAACGGGGATACACGCGCACCTCAAGCTAACGGAGTATTTCTGTTTTCAGCGTATTGGCAACGGCTACCGGTCAGTTTCGAGATGTATCCATGCGACACGTGCGGCAGACAGTACAGAAGGGTGATATCGTTGCAACGTCACAAGAGGCTCGAGTGCGGCAAGGAGGCCCAGTTTGAGTGCGTGCTGTGCCACGCGAAATTCAAGCACAAGCACAGCTTACTCAGGCACTATAACGTTCACGTGGCGGACGTGAAGAAATCGAGCAAGTTCGAGCGCGAGGAGAGGATCGCTTGACAGGCGAAACTGGAGACTTCGACGCGTGGACAGAGAGGCTGCGGCCGTTGAGAGACCTGTTCTTTTACCCTCTGTCTGTGACGAACGTACGACTCCCTTCGAAGATCTAACGCGATTTTCTTTCGACGGTATTCGTCTTCCATTGTTTTACGAGACCTCGGAGGATTTCTCGTCGTTGTTTTGTCGCGGGAAACGATAACATGTATCGGCGATAATTAGGATAATATGTTCGAGCAACGATCGAGAATCGAGGAGGAAATTTTTGAAACGGAGACGATTATGTTTGCATGCTTGGTTGGTGCAATCGATATTTCTAAATGAACATATACAGCGAGATTTGTATGATCGTTAATTAACGTTATATATTACAATATAGCGTATTTTGTACATGATTGTCTGTTTTTTCGTACACGCACACACACGTACCACACAAGCGCACACGAGAAATTTCAGTACGCGTCAGTTTCCCAAGTTCCAGTTATTCATTCGCGCAATTCATCGTCCCTCTGTTACGAAGAATAAAAACTACCTTCTCCGATGTACATATTATATCTCTTGTTTGTTGACACGTTCAGATCTCATTTACGTTGCACGCTTGTTTTCACGCCAATAATCATGTTACGTTTTTATTGAAAAATTCACCGATGAACGATAAATAATTATTACCGCTGTTTTTCTATTCCAGGTGAAATTTCTCTTAAACGAAGGTGTTTTCTTACTTCCTCTTGTAATGTTCTCTACGTTGTTTCTTCACGTTTCAGGTAGTATCGGTAGACTCCAGTCTTCTTGACTAATCAACACAGAAAGCGATAGTAGCGAAACAAACGCACCGATTATTTACTCACAATGGAAGTTGTGCGACCTGAAAATTCGAAAGAATTCGAAATTTCGCAGAAGTGTAGGTCAAGTGTCGCTAACAACGAAATTATTTTTTTGTTTTGGCGATGAAACGATCCTGAGAGTGAAAACATTCCCTCGAAGAAATTGTGAGTTTTCGTATTGTGAAGATTTATAAAATTGTACAACATATGGAGAAAAAAGTTAAAATCAAAGTTGTGTGGTTTTCGACGTCCTATATTTCGGTGGTAAAGAATTTACGAGAAGATAGGTAAAAGGGGTGTAAATTTTGACAAAGAAATGTTTTTCGAAAATTCTTACTATCGCAATGTAGACATCAAAAATTTATCCATAACCGTTCAAAAACTCCTTAAATTTTTCTTCCATATTTTGTACGATTTTGTAAATATTCACGGTAACATGAACACTCACAATTTCTCCGAGGAGGTGTTTTCATCACTAGCAACCATCGTCTGTTTCATTGGCAAAATAGAAAAGAATGGTTTCGTTATTAGCGTCAATTGAACGTTTCTGCGAAATTTCAAATTCTTTTTTTAAATTTTCACTTCACCGAACTTCCTTTGTCCGTGCGAATACCTTGGAATACCTGGCAAATTTTTCACGAATCTTCGATCGTTAATTAGCTGTTTGTTTTGTATCGTTTCAGTTCCTTATTGGTACATAACGCGATCTTACGTCCGTATGAGCGGGCCACGACGAGAATTCGCCTGCAACAGTTGCCCTCGAAAATACAGCACGATAGGTGCCCTTCGATTCCATCAGAGTAACGAGTGCAATCAAGAGCCAAGATTCAACTGCGATTTTTGTGATTATAGGACTGTCAGGAAGACGACCTTGAGGAGACACTTGCTGTGCCATAAAAGAAAGAAGCTCGTCTGAAACACGGCGTTCGCATTGCACAATTCTTTCGTGGAACTAGATGTAGAAAACATGTCTAGTGTTCTTTCTTTCAAATCTCGAATAAAGACGACAGAATGTACACGCTAATAATTTCCCCTCGATGAGTAATTCTTCTTTTTATTACTTCTTAAGGGGTTGCACCTCCCTGATGCGTCTAAAAATAGGGTGAAGTTTCGGAATTTCTTTTTACAGCTAACTACTCGAGGAAAAGTTTCAATTTTTTATATATATAACTTTCAACTTTCTCCTGCAATTTTTAAGAAGAAAAAGTGTTACAAAATGGAGGAGTTACTGAGAAACCTCTTTTATACTCTGTTCAAAATAAGAGTAACCTCGCTTCGCGCATGGGACGTGCCTAAGGCAGGGCTAGAACGTCCAAACCCCCACTTAACCACCTACGTTTCCCTCCGTCTTACCCTCTGCTACGCTCTCTGTCCATGCGCAGAACGGACGAGAATCGGTCCGAGAGCGAGGTTACTCTTATTTTGAACGACGTATACTAGAACATCAATCAGTGACCGCCATCGCTGGTAAGAATTGGAACGTCTGAAATAAAAAATTCTTTTCAATTTATAAACAAAAATGTATCACCTACAGCAGTTATTTAATATTTCAGAAACATTTAAAGTTCATTTTTTGATAACAAGATAACCATTTCTATAATAATCACAATTTTTGGAAAATCCTACACTATATTGTAGATAATACATTTTTATTCATAAATCAAGAAGAATTTTTTATTTCACACGTTGCAGTCCTTGCCGGCGATTCTACCAGAAAAAGTTTCACAATTACCGAATAACTCCGCCATTTCGTGACATTCTTACTTTTTAAAAATTCGAGAAGAAAGCTGAAAGTTACGTTTACATTCTCAGAAAAAGTTGAAATTTTTCATTCAGTAGTTACCTGTGAAAAAAATTCCCAAACTTTGCTCTATTTTCAGATGCCTTAGAGCAATGTACCGTCTTAACCGCGCGGAGAATTGATTTCTCGCGTGGAGATGATACTTAAATGGCACATTGATCGATATGAAATGTTTCAGGTGGTTTTTCCTATCAATGTTACCCTAACAATGATTTACCCAATGATCGTTAAATAACGCAAAACTCCGGTAGAAAGCTCGAAAGCGGAGCGGGAACAGTAGTACATCCGTATCTGATTTTTCAGGTGGACCAGCGGTTCAATGGGAGTGCGTAATGGTAAGAGTGACGCCATACCAGTGCCCGAAATGCTTGAAGTATTTCAAGTCCTCGCAGTCGTGCTGGAATCACCGAAACACCTGCGGCACGGACAAGAAATTTCGTTGCGCGATCTGCGGCTATCGGTCTCATCAAAAGGGAAACGTCTACAGGCATCTAACCCGTCATCATCCGGCAACTAGTCAAAGGGAACGAGCCAACTGCGTGCAAAGAGTGATCGACCGCGAGCGAAATACACTCTCGTTCGACAGTGAAACGCGACTAAGGCAACCTTGAATTTCCCGTGAAATTGGTGGTAAAAGAAAAGAAATTCGTGTAAAATGTTGTATCGTAAAAGTTGAAGATCGATGAAAAACCGTGTGCCAAAAGAGAGAGAGGTGTTGTATTTATTAACCCAAAACGATCAATCTTCTTCTTCTAATTCGTTGGTCGAATTATTATATCCTAAACCGTAAAAGCCACCGGGGAGAATCGGAATTTTTCTGCTCGTCCGTGTAACAGAGGCACAGGTACACGCATATACATACATAAATGTATGGTTCTCCGATTTGTTCTCACGGATTGGCTACGCATCGACCGGACTCTGTGAATTGATTCCGCGGATCGGTGACGGTAAAACGAAGCTATACCGACGTGATTCACGCATATATTTGTCACAAATCTCTGATCACGTTTGACGAGGTTGCAAGCCACCCCGGTTCGAAAAAATACTCACGTCGCTCCTGAACGAAACACGGTATATGACGACGTGTACCAAGTGTGTGCTCGGTTTAACAGAGTGGTACAGAGAGACGTGACCGCGATACGTGGGACAGGCTTAAAGCTGTTCTTTTTTTCCGGATTGCAGATGAGCCGAGCGAGAACAAACCGATCGAGGAGAACTCCGATCTGCCGGTACAGGCGTGGAAGATCCACGAGCAGGGGCTGCTGCCGTTCGCCGAGCTCAAGATACCGAAGGCGTACAACTTCGTCGGGAAGAAACCGCCTGGACAGTTCGGTTGCAGCAGATGCGGAAGATCGTACATGAGGAAGGACTCGTTGCAGCGGCACGTTCAGTGGGAGTGCGGCAAGGAGCCACAGTTTCAGTGTCCATTTTGTCCGCAGCGGTGTAAACGGAAGGCTCACTGGCTGCGACACATTCGCCGGCAACATTTTGACAAAATCGGAGACATGGAGGCCTATCTGCTGGCTTACACGCCGAAACTTGAGATCGATTAAATTGGAAAGTTGTCCGTTCCGGTGAACGAAACGATCTTCTCCCCCCCTTTTTTTCGTCCATCCATGTCCGGACTGTTTTGTTACTCTCGGAATTGTCCACGTGATTCGTGTCGCGTGTTTTACGATTATACCTTTTTCCCCTAGACACACACACATACACCCAACCAGGTTTCTCGGAAACCTCGCCAACTTTCCTGTTATGTATATTTTTGTTAATTGTACGCCAAGAGGTTGCGAGCGACCGGAACCAAGAGGAAAGCGTTGTTATAACCCCGTAAATTGGGATTCGAAAAAGGAGTTTCAGTACTTTGACGAATTGATTTTGACAGGAGTCACGATCATATTGAGTCCACTATAGAACTCGTACAATTTCTTTACGCGCGTCACGATATCATTCTTTTTTTTTTTCTATTTTTTTTCTCTTTTTCTTTTTGTGTTAATTTTACACTCCCTCGTTGTGTACATGTGCGTATGTGTCAGAAACGATGGTGCGAATGAAATGACTCGTTTCAAGCGAACAACGTACAACGAGCTTCACGTACAATGAATAAAATAAAAAAATATTAGTGTCATATACTTTATTTTTAGAGGCGTGCATCGAGCAACCGTAATCGCAAGTCCTGTGTTTCGAGCTTAACGACTGATATTTATTTATTGCTGTACATCGAATTTGCGATTCGTTTCTTATGTGCTTTTAACCGGTACTGCGTGTTTTTTTTTTCTTTTCATCTATCAAGCTGTACTTTCTTTATCTCCGTTTGTTTCCATATTTTTTTTTTTTTTTTATTCTGTTTTGTCTCGTACGATTCGGATATTATTATAATAGTTTCTCGATCGCATCATGTATTACTCCATCCAGTGCCTTATCGATGCGCGTAGATGTAATCGGTCACCAAGACAATAAGTGCGATTTGAAAAAAAAAAAGGCTGCTGCGAGCAACAACACAGTAACACGAGAGGATTTTAGCCTTAAAGAACCTTAGACCTTAGGAGAGAACGGTACGAGTATAAGACTATTTTTGAACGAACGCTTGGGTTAGGAGTATAATTAGGTTCGTAAGCGAATCTCTCGTTAAGACTGATCATGTTAAAAAGAAGAAAAAAAATGAAAAGAAACGCGACAACCACGATGATTCGCAGTGATGCATTATGAATCTTACGATTAGTATTAACGTTATATGCGAGTCCTAATCGTTATTTCGTACGTTTGATTAAATAAATGTGTCGGAAGACGAAAAGTACCAGAACGATACCCCAAACATCTTACCTTGTCATTTGAAAA